TTAACAAAATTAGCTTCAAATTTATTCCATTTCTGTTAACAGTATTTGCTCTTATGTTTTCATAGTATTTCAAACTTCATTTTTGTTACCAGGTCTTAAAGTACTGTTATAGGATTATAATAATATTCTGTAAAGCTGAATTTTGAATAGCTAATTGTTTTACAAACGTAAAGTAATTGACCTTCAGTTTATTTTAGAACTGAAATTACTCTGGAATTACCCTGGTAAGCTTCGAAAAGAATCCAAAGTATTTTACCATCGACCTGCTTCGACCTCAACACATTCCACGAATTTAAACCAACAGCGAGTGTCTCAAGCTGCTGGGATTATTAAACCACAGCTCCATTCCTCCCATCTCAATTGACCTCATACGACACTATTAACTAATGGTCCAATCACGGTGCAGAGCTGAAATATTATTAAATCCCCTTCAAAGAAACAGCTGTTCTTAAATATTCGCGTTCCAACACATGGGGGATAATGTCTATGCGAGTTAGATCTAGTGTTGGACAGTGTCCGGCGTAAATCAAGACTTTTAACTGCATTATATGAACATAAATTCCGTATGTTTACACACGCAGGCGAGCAAAGGTGCTGGTCACATTTATTTCGTTATTTCGTGGGAAGATAGGCGAGGATTCTATTCAGGACCATTAGGAAAACCATTAGAAGGTGATTTTGGACGTGGCATAGTGATTTGAAGCTTGTCTAATACTCCTCCTTCGGCTATTTGTGGCTCTTTGCGATATTAGAGACGCGATTTTCTAATAAACGTTGACACGGTTCAAAGCTTTTCTAATACCAGACGCCACGATCCGAAATTTTCCCGATATGAATTGCCTCAAAGAAAATAAATCACATTTGTTGAAGATGGAATTGCTGTCTGCAGTTTTCGTCTAATTCTGCGGACCACTTGAAACATTAATGAAGATCGGAGTCGCGGAAAAGGTGTGCGGATAACGAGCGAATCGCGTAAACTTGTCGTCGCTCGTAAACTGCCGCGTTTACGTATCACCCAGCCGATCTGCCGGTTTTATGCGTGTGCACGCGATCCCAAACATAGGAAGTTGATATAGAAGTCTATTCTCGTTGAATAAATAATCTGTAACGGCTCGAAAACACACGGCCCCGCGTGGTTGCTGCATGCCTTCAACCGTGTTACCATATCGCGATTGGTAACGATGGACAATGGAAAGGAAGGTCGTCCAAAGCTTACGAGTTTCATCCTATGAGCCTCAGACGCGTGTTTCAAATGATCTTTCAGATTATAATCGATAAAGAAATCAAAATTTCCCAATGTTTAATGATGCTCTTGCATTTACTGAATTTAATAAGCAATAAACTTGAAGAAAAATTAAACATCTAAAAATTCTAGGTTCTCGAAAGGTTAGATTGGAAATGAACTTTCCAGCCGGTTCAAAGACGAATTAAAACGAATCGTAAATTACAATCGTGAATTAGAAATAATTTATGCACGTTCATGCGTGTGCAAAAAGCTGCGGGTAACGATCAACCACGAGGAAACTGACACGGAAAAATTCGAATGGCTGATTAACGAACCGCTCGAACGTTTAACAAGCGAAGCGAGTGCGCCGTAATAAGCGAATCCTCGAAGGACCTTCGCGCGTATGTACAGAAAATAAATTCTGCAGGGACGACGAAGAAGCTGGGACGAACAAACGATCAAAAAAGCATAGGTGGTGCAAAGCAAACCATGAAGAAATTTGGAAACTTTGAGTTCATTTGATTCTATAAACCCATAAAATTTCATCCATATCAGTCAGTAATGGTTCCCTTGTTAGTTGAAGCGGAGCACTCTCGGGCAGTATAGAAAATGGTGGTTAACGCAGGAAGGGAATTCAAATAAATTCGAGGCGATTCCGTAAAAACATGGGGACAGGGGATAAACTTTACGACATTTTGCCCCGGTTAAGTTATGAATATTACGGCTCGTACGGTTGATTAAGTAGACGAGCGCCGGTGGAAAACAGCACGGCTGCTCTCTATCTCTTCGTTCAAATCGTAGCCGCCATTAAACGAAAGATATCCAACACCTCTGGCGACGATCGAGGCAAAACAACCTTCTCTTTTTCTCTATGGCGTGTGCCTGCCATTAGACGAATGAGCTAACGGGAATCGTTATCCACCATCCTCGAGACGATCAAACGTTTCAACGTTTACGCTTGTCTTTGAATTTTCTACGATCCAACTGCCTGGCGTTTTCAACCATCCAGCAAACGGTATTTCGAGATACGGAACAACGCTGGATGATTTTATTATTGGACACTTATGTCATGTTTCAAGTCCCAGTTTCTAAACGCGTTTGTTCTAGAATATGGGTCACACTAATTTCAAATGATAGAATTCAACGTTCGAGGTATAAGAAGCAAAAGTTTTGAAGCAGACGTTTCCTCGAGGGGAGGATCGTTGCGTGGAAGGATCCAAAGACTAGCAAGCTGGTAGAAAAAGAAAGAATACGAGGAAAAAAGGGAATCTCCCGCCAAGAGGAGAGCGTGGCAGTCGAGCACTGGAATATGGCTGCAACATCAACTATCAACAATATTGCCTCGTGGCCTCAGTCCTTTGACATCTGAAAAATAAGACGAGGACACCGTATCTACTACCTCCTTCTCTCCTTTCCTTCATCTTTCGTTCTCTCTCTCTAGCGAGCCAGCTTCAGAAGGCAAGCTGGAATTCAAAATGGCTGGCTCGAGTTGCAGTATGCGTGGGCAACCCGGTAACACACAGCGTTCCTCTACTTTTGCCGCACATGTGTGTTTCTGTCCCCTTCGTTCCCTCGAAAATTCTCTCTCTTCGAGTTTAAAATGAATATACATTTTGACCCTCTACTTCAGGAAAATTTGAAAAAATTATCTACTCTTTGAGAGAAATGTCTTGACCCAAGTTATTCATAAATCAAGAAAAAACTTCATACAAATGTAAATGAATAAAAGATGGAGAAAATAATTCCTAGAGTTTTTTATAGAATGCAGTACACACATTGATTGCTTTAGAATTTCCATTTATATCTTATCAATGTTGTAATACATGAAACATTGATAGCAGTAATTTTATGTAAACATATGCCATGGTTACAAGTGTAACATATGCATAATCATTGAAGTTAGGTTGGATTTAGTCTGGGTGCACGCTCGTAGGTTCGCACCCAAACGTGCTTCTTGGAAGTGGGGATACCGGGTGAAAGGAACAGCCGAAGGAGGTAGAACCGAACGGAGCGGATCGAAAGCGGGAGAACGCCATTATCCGACGGCGGCCATTCTCTCCTTCTCGCGAGAATCTTCGAATCTTCAGAAATTCGCGCAAGCTTACTAAAAGTGTTTCAAAAATTGCATAACCACTCTTAACATTATATGTATAAACTTTCGAGAAGCTTATTTTAAATTTAAAAAAAATTCTCGTCACATTGGACGCTGAACAGACTGCGAACGTTCTGTTGAATAATCCAAAAAGTAGAGAGGAAATAACTTTCAGCATAAAGCAACGCTGTAAAAAGCCGCTGGTCATACACAGAGTGTAACACACGCGCATCAGGGTATCCATTTTTCTCATACGAACAGAAACACAACATGTCATAACCACCTACCCATTCAGCCACCCCTTTTTCTCATCCACTGTTTCTCTCCTCCCAGGGGTTCTCGGTTATTTCACCTCATCCCCCGTCCCATTTTTATTCAAATTCATCGGATAGCTACTCCGACGATGGTCGAGGGAACGCTAGGCAGCTCACCAGTTTTACAGGCCAACCTCCTCCTGCTTGATCCTCCTCCTTCTCTCTTTCCCTTCGACCGCCGGCGTTCACCTTTCTCCCCTCGTTTTCCATAAATTCTGAATTTTATTTAGTCCACACGGTTGCACCGTCGCCTCTTTGCGTCTTTATCCCCACACGAGGACCGGTTCGACCGTTGGTCCAATCCGATCCACGGACCACCAGGTCATCCGCGCCTGGTCTATGGGTTCAAGAACACCCATGATACCGGCTTGCCGAGAATGTGATTCGAAGATTCGTTTGCTGCGAGCGAGGAAACTTCGCTCGGAAACGAGTCGCCGATTTTAACGAAATTTTTAGAAAATGTAGTAGCCATCTTCTTTCATGGTTCCCTTCATCTGCCTAACAACAAGTCGAACAACTACATATTCAAGAATTCTCACGTGGAACTAGATAATGACCAGCGACCTGTTCGTGCATGGAAAAGAACAAAATGATGCTGAACATGCGGCCAACGTTGGACGATCGTAAAAAGAAGGAAGACGAAACGGACTGTACACGGTTTGATAGTTCCTGCACGGTTTCCTTTCGACCGCGTCAACCTTTAATGAAATTGCCTCTCCGTGGCGGGAATTCCGGGCTCCTAATGAAGATCATACAGCTAGCATCGTTGAAATATGGTCGCTGATAGCCGATGATAAAACAAAGCCCCGTGGATCGCGTTAAACCGAAGGGAGAAACTCGACGCCACCGACGCGTACGTGTTCGACCGTTAATCTCGGGATTACGATGACCGCCTCTTCGAAACGTGACGCGAAATTTCTTCTCTTCTTACGCGAACGTGTTCGCGCTCTAAGTAATCGCAAGGAAAACGGGTTTTCCAAGCTTCTGGTTGCTGGAACTGAGTTTTTTAAAGAAAATTACTTGTAATGTTTCTATTGCAGAATCTTGTTAACATGTTCGGTACCAGCGTCTGCTTGGAAACGCCGGTTGCCAGTAATTATCAAGAAATTTCATAGTGGAAAAAAGATAATTCAACGTGAGCTACAAAAGGTATTCAAAGCTGAAAAGATCACAGAATTCTGTCGAAGAGAAAGTAATAGTAATACTCATTTACCATCTTACAGGATGCACGCAATGGCTACTTTCGAGGAAAGAAGGAAATTAACCCCAGGAACGTTCCACTCCAATCAAGGAGAAACGCAAAACGAAAGTAAGAGGAGGTTGAAAAAGTGGACACTCACCTTTCGGCTGAAATAGCAAAGTTGAAGAGGTGGCTGCGGTGCGACGACGTAGCAGCGTCGTCGAGCGTCGCGACGGTAGCAGGGCGTAGGGAGGGGATGCCGCTGCCCTTTTCCCTTCCAAGGGTTTCCACGACCCGAGCGGCTAGTCCATGCCGTCTCGTTTTTCAGCTGCTGAAACATCCAATGCACGTTCAACTCGTTTTCAACTTGGCCGGCCAAACACATCGGATATTGGCTCTGGTCCTTCAGGTTTGCCCGTCGCGAACAATCCTCCGTTCTTTCTCTCTTCAACGGCACAGAAACCAGCCTTCAAGCTCAATTCTTCAAACACTATATATATCTTACTATAGATTGTTTATAATTCTTTGGGTAACATGTTACACTCACTACGACGCGATTTTTGGGATCCAGCGCCGGTTAAATCACCTTGTAATCGAAAGCTCAAAGGGTGCTACTTCAAAAGATAACCTTCCGAGAAGGGATAAGAAGCACAAGAAGCGTAGAACACGCGAGGAACGATGATGTTAAGAGGAATGCATCGCGTTGGTAAAGTTTCGACTGAGGCTGGTAGCGGCGAGTTAGCGAAACGAAACCAAGCAAAGAGGCTGTATACGCGCGTTGGCGAACGCAAACGTAACGGAACGGAAATACACGCGACGAGCTGAACGAGTTAGCTCGCTTGGCAAAGCTTGCCGGGTCTACACTACTCGTGCAACCAGGCCTGATCGTGTGTCGGTAGGTATCGGGCCAACGGGATTTACTATGTTCTCCAACTGTACCGGTCTATCTTTGTTCGTTCTCTTTCTGTTGCTTTCTCTCGTAGACGTATCTCTCGAGGCTGACGAGGAGAGAGCAAGAGCACCGCGACCGGCACCAGAACTTAACAACGACCGCCTTCTCTTAGCCTGGCACGATAGCCGTCGCTAAACCATAGGATGGTACCCCGCTCGAAGCAAGCCAATCAGGCGGCCACCGTATCTACCTGTGGACTGCCTTCTGTGTAGCACCTGCGGCCAACGTGACTGGATATTATACTTTGTAAAATGCCGGCTACATTCGACGACAGATCGACGGTTTATAAGCGTGTTTCTTTAATCCCTTCTTAGTTCCATACAGTGGTGATGGGATTGATTAATCCTTCAAGAGATAAGTCAGAGTGGAACTGGATAATGGTAGGCTAGGACCACGTGGAAAAATTTCAATATCCTTACTATGACACTATTTGTTAGTAATTGTTAGAAAATAGTGACGAAACAAAAGAATAGGTTAAAGCTTCTCAGTAAAATAAAATTAAAATCAGAAGTAATGGCAGAAACAATGAACATTCCTTTCAGCCGACCTCCCTGATCGCAGATAAATAAGGATTGAGCTAATTACGAAAAGAAACAGCAAAGTTGCAGAGCAGAACTGCGCTTGATTGAGTCACTAGTCGCTTTTATTTCTCTCCCTATTGCCAGCATTTCAGACAGCAGCCACAAATACCGAAACAAAGGATCTCGCCATTGATTGAACTTGCTGCTCTCCTGGAAACGTTTAGCGTTCTCGACTGAACCATTCGTTGTTTATCGTGGAATTGCCTGACCTTCTTGCGGCGGTTTACCGAGACCGTTCATTACCTCGATGATCGTCGTCGTCATGGACATTGTAATCGACATTGGTATCGTAGTAAATCGGACCGCGAACAAATGTTTCGCTTCAGACTTCTCACGATATCTCCGCTTGCCGCTTAGAAAAACATTGTTGCCCATTTGAAAAATATTGAACAAACAATTATGAATGTATAATCAACTCGTCCTGCACAAAATACCATCGTCTCTGTTTAAAAAAAGATTCTGGTTGATGGAGAACACTGTTTGGCCGAGTATCCTGTAATGACTCTTTTAACTGCGCACCGACCGTGTACCATTCTCAGAGGTTTATGCCTTGAACGTTTCGCCGACATTTTAACCCGTTCAGTCTCAATATCTTCATCTGAAGCCTCGTCTTGCTCAAACTGCGTTCAAAACCTCCAATATGTTTCTCATGCCTATTCCAATAACTTGTGAACTAACTTTTCTTGACACTAAAATGCCATATTTTATATTTTGAAAAGAATAATTAATGCTTCTTCTCGAAGGGTTATTTCATCTTAAGTTGTCAGATCTTGGCCTTATTCGTACAGAGTCCCATTTCAAGAGGAACGATAAAAGTGTCAAATATATTCGTAACTCTTTGTATGACCGCCCAGCAATCTTAAATACTTCAATTAACATACTAAAGAAGAAGAGTCAAACTCCACCGCGAATTAGAATTTCGAAAGAACCGCTGAAAGATTTTAATGTTAATTCCAGCGATTGGTCCACCTTGGCTGTCTCAAGATTTTCGGTCCAACCCATGATATCTTAATAGGTTCCAGGCTACTCTCGAGTACACGAAATGGCCGCTCGTTTATTTTCTTTCGTTAGCTGTTGGTCCCCAACAACGCTTCTATTCAACGAAATTATTCTCGCAAAAAATTTTACATCATCAACTGTGAGTCGAAGCGGGAGAAAAGGTTGTTAAATAAAGAAATAGAGTAACAGAAGAAGTAAGACTTAATAAACGCGATCGGACAGTGAACTTGAATCGTCACGCGTGACGGGTGCAGCTTGGGGTCTGTCATTTGCTCATTAAAATATTTACGGTTACGATTGTTGCGGGATATCCGTCACAATTATCGTCTGTTTAACTTCACGCCGAACGATTTGTCTTCGGCACACAAGGAAACGTTAACACGGTCCACTCGTGTGCACGGAGAGGGCCGGGCAGAACATAAGAGCTCATAAATGCGAATTTAAGAGGCGCAATAAAAACACATTGAAATTGAGAGTGAACGAGCTAGACCACGTGCTTTTACCGTAAGCTTCTCTTTTACTTCTTCGGGCAGAAAAATATGTAATTCCTCGTGGTTGAAATTGTAAGAGGATGGACAAAAACAGAAATGCTACATTTAAAGCATTGTATAAATAATTTGCCTAATTTGAAATTAAGATTTTACTATGTAATGCGACTGTCAAGTTGTAAGATACTAGAACGTCAAATAAATCATCCGACCTGTCTCACAGAAGTGATGACTTGCAAGGTCGATTTTAAATATTCGAAGAAATTTATTTATGAATACTGTGATCTCTCCGGAGATCAAGAACGAAAGAAAAAAAGGTTAGAAAAACCCTGTTTCGTGATAAATCCGAGACGAAACATCATTTCGGTGAAGGTAAACATTCAAGGTAAGGGTGTAGTTTTTCCCCAAGATTTTTTGCATAACCTCGAAAGGGAAAACGCATTAGTGGAAGGTTTACGAGGACATCGTGGCTTCGTTCAACTGCAGAATAACTCTGTTGCTGAAATTAGGGTGTAGATAATCCTTTTGTGAGGGTTGCAAGTGTCATTAAGCCAGAATTTGGAAGAACCTTTTCATTCGAATCCAGATTAAAACTATATGAAATTTTACAGATACATTAAGACGTATTTATGCAAATCTTTTCACGCTAATTATAAGAAACAAGACCAAAATAGAAAATAATAAAAAATTGATCGCTTAATTACGCCATGGAAGAGACCCAGTCGCTTCAATGTCGACCCACCGTGTGTTTTATGTTTATTATTTTATAGCAGCATAATTTGCAAACGGTCAGAATTAAACAGACGACCACCGCGTTTAAATAACACCAGTCAGCAGGTTTGTAAAATCACAATTTATCGTTGATCATCGTTCGTCAAGAGTGCCGTTCAAATACAAAGTTCGAGGCTGTTCGACGCGCCAATAAATTTACAACCATAGAAACGAAATCATAAAGCCGTGATACCTGCAACGGGTATCTTTCAGAAACGTTTCCAAAAATTGCTACTGAAGAGATGAGAATCTTTACATAACACGGTAATTTTTAAATTTAATTTTTCAAATTATTATTTTGTATTATTGATGAAGTAAAAATACTATTGAGGAACAGACGGTCGTATAGCTCGCTAAGAAAGTGCAAATTCCAGGGAAGCCAGTTGGCAACACTGCTTTCCTCAGAGAGACGCGGTATCGACCGCGGCCCCCAAAGGCCAAACCAGCATCTCAACCTCCGAGTTTCTCCTTCCTTTTGCACTTCGAACAACCTCCACGATCCTCGAACCCTTCACCCTTTTGCCACCTCCTCTACCCGGCTGGATTCCAGCGAATAATTAAAACGAATTAAACGTTTCTTGCTTTTATTCGTTGCAATCTCTCTACTGCTAATTGCTATCATGTTTGTTTGCAATATTAAAATACGTAAGAGAAATTAAACGCCATGAACCATTAAATCTATTCCTATAATTCCTAACAAACCTAACCCATCACCAGAACCATTCGACTTTTTTCTCTCTCCATAAACGAATTAAACTTAAACCATCCCTCTTCCGAGAGGAAAATCCCATTGCATCTAGCCGATACAAAAACGATGCACTCTGAATCCACGGCAAAGTAATTGATTACGCGGTTGAAAGTAGAAAAAGGTCTGAGGGAAGGAAAGAGGTAAAGAGGAATGGAAGGATAGGAAAGGATGCAAGCTAACCTAGCTATCTAATGGATGCGAATATATCGCCGTAATAAATTTCGCAAAAAACCCGAAAGGAGGGTGGGCAAAGGTTTGCAGCTAGCCTAAGGGCCTGCAAGAAAAGGAACAAGTAAAAAGAGCGAAGAAAAACCAAAGAAAAGCCGGGGAACGAGGCTGGCAAGGCGGTCACGTTTCCGGTACGTGCACCAGACGGCCATCTTTCCCTCGATTCCACCAATCGTCTGGCTGCTGTTGCCAAATGGGGCTAAAACAACCCTTCGCGACCCCTGGCACAGCTCCACCCCTCGAGTCTTCTTCCGAGGATGGATCAATAGCGACGTTACCACCCCTACAACCACCCTCTTTCAGCCTTGCCAACTTGCTAGAAAGTATCTACTCTTACGTGCCTTCCAAGGGAAAAACCTCGAGCAAGAGGTGACTTTAAAACCCGTCTGTTCGAGTGGAAATTGTATCGTTTCCGGGGAAACGTTTAAAGGCAGCTGTCCAATTTTCCACCAACGTGATTTCACTCTAACAATTTCCGTTTAAGATATTATGGCTAAAAAGCGAACGCTGCATAACTTATTTGGAAGTTTCATACACACTGTATATTATGTTGTATTCGAAAAGTTTTAAACATTTTCTGTTTACGTAAAAAGGAATATTGATAGTCAACTCCTTTTTTCTGAGAATTAGGAGTGAATCGTTAAAAGGCTTTAGTTTTCGAGACTTATAAATGGAAACAGTCAATTTAGAAATTGATGATGCATGCTGTAACTTCTTATCTCTGCGAAATTGCATCATGGTTGTCGAAGATACTTGAAATTTATCCGTAGAGTGGCATCCTATTAACACTTACGTGGCAGCTGTTTTAAAGCTGTAAACTTTGAGATTCTTCTAATTAAAGCTTTCAACTAACGGAGCTCACTATCATCGAAATAATAAATTAGATTCACTAAAACGAAAATTACTGTCTAATGAGACAAAGTAATCGAATTTTCGTCGGGGAATGTATCGAGTTAAAAGCGTTTCTCTTAATAAGATCGTATCTGTCCGAAGTAAGTCTCTATCTGACAGGAAACGAGACGAGCGACGTAGACGTGAAAAATGTATGTGGCTGATAGCCTAGACGTCGACGTAGCAACGTGAATGTAGCAACGACACCCCACGGTATTCCGGGTAGACGGGTACATGGAATACCAAGAATGCTGGTCATGCGTTCCCCTTCGCGCGGGACCTTTTCGCCTGGAAGTGGAATTCCATCAGCATTCTCTATCCTACCTTGGCTCTCGAAACAGAAAGCTTCAAGCAAGGGAATTTAGCGAGCTCAGACGCCTGGAGGGTATGAAACTACGCTCGAACAAGCTCGAGACTGCTTTAATTTTAAACGCTTCGCGTAATGAAAACTTTCCTCATTAAGAGCTCCCTTAACGCTTGGCCGCCATCTTGGTGGCTTCTAAATGCACGTAAAGTTTCCAAGTTTATTGAAACGTGGCTCTGTGTGAACGCATAACGACGCTGGACTTCGGCAAGGATTTTCATATATTAAGACGAAAATTAATTGACACGTCCAGATATTTTTTACTATCAAAACTTCTATTCATTTTCACTAGTTCGAAACTGAAGACGTTCCTATCTTGGAGCCATTTCTTTATTGCTTCGGGCACGTTTCGCAAAAACCATACTACAGGCGATATATCAAAGGGAAAACAGCAAGGGACGAGGTCACGTTAGAAGGGCGGTCAGAAAGCCGTGGAATCGGGACGAAGGTCAACGCGAGCAATAGCCAGTAGAAAGGGTTTCTTCTCGGACCTGACGCAGCGAGATTTTATATGAGTTTCGGGATTTGAAATGAGGATTTACGGGCGGGCTGCGAAAGCGAAAAGGAAACATTGTTTCAAATAAGACGTCTCGGCTCTTTCCTTTGCCGTCTATCCACCTTGGAAGTAACTTACGTGCCCAAGATGGGTCCAAGAGAGAAGTTGATCGCGATGGGGAGTCGCGAAGAAGAGATGCTCACGCTAACAAAGTATAATGAAACGTTACCATGAGGTTGGTAAAAAGCAAAAACAGAACTCTTCCTCAACGGTAAAAATCCTTCACGTGAGACATGTCAGGGGAAATGTTTGAAAAATGTCTCCAAAGAAAATGGAACTGTTTACTTTAATATATTACACGATGATCTCATCTCGAGTAGAGTAGGGTGAATGCACGAGGGTGGTCCAAACATTCATGATGGCGGATCATAGTTATGGAGGATTACTAATATTAATCCCCACGGTACTATTAACCAATTGATCAATAACAGTGATCAACCATGAAATAGAACCAATGAAACTTTCGATCCAATTTCATTCGTTGAAACATTGACCCTAACATAACATAGCTATGTCAAGTTTCCTACCGAAGCGATGAGAACACAACAAGAAGAACGCGTATCAATGTTTCTGTACCATTCATCTCGATAAATCAGCGGAATTAAATCTTCATGAGTCATAATATTTAAGCATAATAAAATGAATAGCTTTATGATAATTGGTGGTAAGATAAAACGTGGTCTAGAATGCAAAGAGGAGAGGCGAGTAGAGGAACGAATGCGCTTTCAACGCGCGTACCTCTTTGGTTCGCGTGTTTTGGACCACTTTCAGCAAAGTTGCACCCTTTCTCACGCGGTGACGACGACACAGCTCGAGACTCGCCTTTATCGCCTTATAAAACGAACGTCTTACGCGCGCGCACGCGGCCGTAAATAACGACTGGCGATGCTCCACGGCGATACTCTTCTTCCTCTCGACAGCACACGCGAGAACCTGTACGTCACGTATGTCACACGACTTGAAATTCTTTTTTTTTTACTCTTAATTTCCGTGTCTGAGAAAGTGGAGGGTGATAAGTGTTCCCAAGTTGAGTAAACTTAAGATGCGAATCGACGATCTCGGGGTGCCTGGTCGTTTGAGAGTAAAACTCGCGCGAGAAACTGTTGAGAGTTCATGCAAAGAAAAAATCAGTTTCTTCGATTTATTGATTGCAAAGGAAATACAACGAGGATTCTCCGAAAGTCAGACGATAGCTGGCATTCAACTGGCGAGCCAAAGGAAAATGCAATTTGCATGGTACGCGAAACCGGGATTTCATACAATCGCGCACACGTTCGCTCGTAAATATCGGAAGGCAACGAGCGGCCAGAACATTTTTTTTCCCGACCGGTTTTACGATGCAACGCATGCAACAAATCAGCAGGTTTTGCAATTCCACTGCCGCCGCGATTTACCCCTAACTCCACGCGGTGATCGCGTCACTTTTTTCCCCTCGTTCTCCACTGTATTACATTCTAATTTGAAAATTTCTAAATTTTCTCTAGTGCTCGTTCCTTTTTCTTATTGGACGCATATAGGTTGTTTGCAACGCGAATGATACGATGCGTCATATCGCTGGAGGCTCTCGGATTAATTTAATGAATCAAGGAGGGAAGAAGATACGACTGGCTATAAATAAACCATGTCAGCTTATCATGGGTACTTTCGAACAGCCTCGATGATATTACGATCTTTTCTTACGTATCGCGATGATTTAGGGGTAAACAAGCGTTAGCTCGATCGCTGATCCTGTCAGTTTTTCTCATTCATCAGCAGTAATATAGGCTTTACAAAATATTGGGGCCCAAGAATGAAAAATTTGAACGTTACCTTTGCTACCAATTTCTCCATCGTCGGACATCGTTTTCCGTTTCTACTTCCTCGGAAATGTATTTAATCACTTGGATAATTGGAGAACAGAGTTACGATCATCAAAAAACACCATCAAAGAAAAACCACTATAAGTTTACTTACAAACCGTACTGTTTACACAACGTTGTAAGAAAGCTCGCGAAACACAACCTGACGCCAGCGTAGAACCTAACGCACTGACTAATACCATAATTCTAGGGCAGCCCTTATTTCAAGCCCTAAACCCTTGAAGGTGTGCCCTCTGCAAATTTACGGCTAGGCACATGTGTTCGATTTCGTGGACCTGTTTGTACCACTCCTCCGACTCAGAAGGGGAACAAATCTTCTGAACTCGAATAAATGGTTAAAAAAGAATCCCATTGTTTTCGAATAAATATTCGTGTAAAATTAGAAAACTCAAAGAAGGATACATCGAAAAATCTTTCTACAATTCGAATCTGTGGTACTAAAATAAAATGCAGCAAATTCTGTTAAAACTTTCAAGCTGATCCGATACTTGAAATGATGAAGAAACATTGTGACACCTTTTCAAAGGAATTCCGACATATTTTCTAGAATGGTAGGCCGTCGGATGAACAGGATTCAACGCTGGACGCTGTCGTCGCGTGAGCATACCTCCACAATTTTACGATACAAGTATTAATCATTCGAAACACGTAATGCACGGGTCGGTCGAACGGTGCGTTTACGTCGAAACAGATTTATGAGGAACGACGTCGACAAATTTGCGTTTAATGAGCGGCACCATTCCGATACGATGCTCTGTTTCAACCACAATAGGAACGTTCACTGATTCTGGTCCACAAACGCTTTTTAATTCCAATTTAATAATAATAATAATTGACCGATTTATCAAAGAATAATCTCGTTTTCTAGAGTGCTTCACGCTTGACTGGTTCGTTGCATTGTAATTAAAGAATCAATCTACTGGTTTCTGTGCACTAATTGTAAATCATTTTCTATTGTACACGCTTACCTTTGATGGGACGTAGGTGAGGCGGTGAACGAACAGCGGTGACTCTTTTTCGCCACATGAGGAAACCTGAACAGAAAAATGACAAAAAGTTAGATTGCAGGTATGTGCTTTTGCCATAACTAACAGATGAAAAAACCTTTTAGTAATTTTTTTTTTAATACATTTATTACTCTGTTATCTATGTCTGGGCAATGTCCCGTTCACCGTCGGCTACATATTAAGTCACAAAACTTGTATAAAAACCTTCATTTTCAACCAGATTATTAATGAATCTCTGACATTCAATCTTAATTAAGCACTTTTAACTTCTGAAACTACAAAAAACCAAAGAGAAAAAGTCAAGCTACGAGATACCTTTAACTCCATTTTCGTTTCTCCGCGTCGACCAAGCGTCGGAATAAAATGGCGTCGCGGCGTTCCGTCGGATAAAACGCTCGATTCACATCTTCTGTTCGACTGGAAGCGTTCGAATAAATTCTAAATCGCGTCAGCTCGCCACGACGACGAGATGAAAACTGAACAAACGGTTTCAGAGGGTACGAAGTGAGGAAGAGAAAAAAAATACAAGGACTCAAGGGAGATCGTTACGACACGGCCTTGGATCTCTATTAGTCCCGCTTAATGTTCGACGATAGAAAAAAAATTGGAGTATTGACGGAAGGAGAACCTTCTGCGGGAAAGAAGAAAAAAATTTTGCTCGACATTTGGGACCGTTTCGATTGTCTGCTTGACCTTCGAGCATTGAACACGGTTCCTGTGTTCTTGAGGAGACCTAGCCGGCGGAACTGATGCCTCGTTGAGAGCCGACGGAAAGTTTCGACTGTAATTTTATGGGAAATTTTGTCTCTGGTTCGAAGGAAATAATCCTTCTGATATCATTGTAAATGATTTTTATTCAATCGATTGTGAGAAGTTAATAAACTGTTGAATGTAATACAAATCTGTTTCTTCAAAACTTCAAACTTATTCGACGGCCTCTGAATTCAAGTCTACCTCTCATTGAAACCCATCTTCTTTTCTAATTAATCTAACTTCATTGTATACGACAAAATAAATCCTCTGAACTTTATTTCATAAGTTCAGTTAGAACCAATATGTCTCTAAAATACAACAATTATAAAACACAAATTTTCCTCATCAAATCCTACGATATCCTAAAATAGCTATCTCTAAGAAAGTATCTTCCTAATACGCGTCAGCTTATCCAAAAAGAGCCCAACTTGAGCATTTAATTTCAGAGCCCGAGATATCGTAGAAGGAAGCAATCATCTTTCCGCGTGACTTCATAAATTGAACGTTATTCCGTCGAGACGCCAGGCGTCTCCTTCTATATCGATCCTTACTTTTCGTTTACTCTTGCAACCCCTTTCCATCAAGATTAGTCAGCAAAACCTTCTATCTCCAGTTCCAATAAGAAAAACTCTCCAACGGAGATCACCCTCCCCTTCCAATTCTTCTTCTTGTTTATTCTTTCCAATAGCGATGATAATTGACCCTGAAGAGAAACGTAACTGGATGTTTTAACTAGATTAAAGGATCCTGAACGATGGTCTGCTAATTGCTACCAGTTTGTGGCTAACAAGTTTCTCGTAAAAGACATTCGTCCTTGTTCTAATTAAATTCTCGCAGCATCACCAATTTTTAGGAGATTGGATGAACTGGTAGCAATAATTTGATCAATTGATTCTAATGAGAAATCGGACCAGTGGGTCCTATAAACATTTTAAGTAGTAAGGTCAATCATTTAAGAGTCATCCAATCTAATTTCCCTATTTCTTCCAAAATTCAAACCAAAGCCTAGTGTTCGTTCTTAAATACGAAATTACACGAATGAACGAGCAGTTTGGGATCAGCCATCTTTGCTAGCGACGCGAACAGGGATGAGCGAGGAGGGGACGAAAAAGTCTGCTGGCAACGCGGCGATTCGGCATTAAAATTCAGGTAGACGAAAACCGGGAAAGGAAAGGAAGGATCCGGCTCGAGAGGGAGGTTGAAGAAGGTAGGGCTTAAGCTGGAGGAAGGCAGGACAAAGGACCTCTTTCTCTTTCTCTTTCTACTCTGGGGTAGCTCGTTTACCCCCCTCGAGGTAAAGGACGAAAAGGGCAAAGAAAAAAGTAATCGGTAGCATGCGAAGCACGCTCGGCAACCTTCGCGAAGCGTACATTCTACGCTCGTAATATACGGCTTCCGTACGTTGATGGAATATTCGAAAAATCCAAGACGGCCATACGGGTGATAAAACTATGAAAACGGCTGACGAGAATGTTGCCACGTGTGTGGTCGTTGCATCGTCCTTCTGCAACCTCGTTTCCATCTGCATCGCGGATCTAACGAATCTTTACACGCTTCTTGCTTGAAAACCAGCATATTAGTTTAAACGGCTTGGAAACTTGGAACTTCTCTGATGAATCCTCTTTTAGAGATTGTTTGTGTAACTATCATGGAAATGAATAACATTTACTAGACCCCCTCGATAGTCAAGGCATTGGTTAGAACAGAGTGAGTCAACAGGCTCGTTAACCTTTTAATAGTCAAACATTTGTAAACCTATTCTCTATCGCTAATCGAATATTTACAATGGCGGAGGTTATGTTAACTGGCTCGACAAACAGATTCAAGAAGGGATACAGATTCCTTGGGTAAACTAGAACTTTCGTGGAATTGAAAGTAGAATATGACGACGAATTCACGTGCCTCCACCGCTGAGGCCATGATGAGAGAAAAAAAATGACCACGGATGAACCGGGTTCCCAATGACCCAAGCAAGCTACCAAAATATCCTCTTATCTGTTGCTCGAAGCGTATTTCAACGCAAGAAGAACGCACTCTCCTCTCTCACGTACACGTAGGTCGACTTGTGGGCGTATAACAGCCGATATAAGTGTACAAGACCGGGGATATTCTTTCGAATATACGATGGTGCCAAGTTTGTGCCATCGTGTCACACTCGTATTGGTATACAAGCTGACTGTCCCTTGGAATGCAAGACATTTCACGACGGAGAGCCTATCTGAGAAGAAGCAACGCTAATCTGAGTGTTTATCGCCCGACTCGCCGAGAGAAAGAACCAAATCCTTTCACGAGTCTCTGACCATTTTTAGTCAGGGGTTTAACTTGTACGTGATCGCTGCTAATTTTAAGTTTTTTGTTGATTTAAATAATAATACTACCATTTTGAAACAATTTGATGTTATTCAAAATCATTTGGCACCTCTGCCATTCATTCCTCTCCCCCAACAAACGTAGTATCCATTTTCCTGTATCTACAATTCATTCCTCAACCTCCGTCGGCTGAAACCGGAAACGTTATGGATTATAAACTTCTTTCTTTCCCTAGTAGAAGACCGCCCACCCTCAGACTCCCTTGACACCGATGATCGCATCCCCTTCTCGACGCGCGATGGACCGAAAGCCACGTGAATACAATTACTTTGAAACTTAGAACGGTGAACACCCTCCGGACGCGACTTGTCTCCGCTCCTACATCATATTTTACAACTATCGAGCCCGCCTTGTTTCCGGTCCCTTTCAATGGTTTCCGTAAGAAGGAAACTGGATCCTATGTTAAGGGATACTCTAACGTTTCGACAGGAGTTTCCTCACAAAAAGACGTTATAAGCGTTTTATTAGGCACCAATGTAACAGAGAAATACTTTATATAATCATAAATTTTCTACAATTTTAATTGCATTTGCTTTCAACCCTTTCCAAACTTTCTCGTACCCGCCTGAATACCTGAGATAAAAGTAAAAATAAAGACGATGAGAGCCCAATGGAATCGAGAATCAGCCTGGAAGATAAGAAGGTGGAGCGACCATCGAGAAGAGGTGAAAAGAAAGAAAAAGAAGGCAGAAGGTACTCGAGGTTAAAGAAGGAAAAAAGGAAAGAAGGGTAGAGAGAGGTGAAAAAGAACGAAGAAAACACAGCGGCAGAGTGGAGAGGGAAAACTCGACTGGTCTCGAACCGTAAGATAGGGAGGAGAAATACGCGGTCGTAAAAGGCGAAGCGCAGTCCCCAAAGAAAATACGAATTAAAGCCGCTAACCGGTGATCCGAGAAACTTCTGTATAATCGAACAGAGACGTCAAACTCCGGTCGTTCGAGTGTAAAAACCAGCTGACGAGTCAGAAACTGGTGCCACAGATTGTAAATATTGGAAATTAGATTTTTAATTGAATTACGGGAAGCATTTGAAAACATCGCTTAACGAGCTGCTACCAGAAGAATGGGTTCGCGTGATGGCTATATTGTTAGAGTTAGTTAAAACTCGTAAGATCGAATCGTTAAAAAGTAGAAACATGAAAATTTTAATGAGATTGATATTCTCTTCAAAAGCAACCCTCTAATTTTCTCGTTTATAAACGAAAGCAGAAACAACCAGCACCGAAAGGGCATCAATCATATGACGAGGGACGAAATACCTGTTCTCCAACCCCCATTCGACTAACATTTAATTTTAAGGCATCCAGAGTCCACTTACTCGTTACAAACCCCTGCCCCAAAGTCACAGTGGTTACTCGAACGCACACCCTGTCCGAAAATATAGCAGATTTGGCACTCCAGCCCTCAAAAACGGGTATTAACCGAAGATAACAGGGGCTTTTGGTCCATAAGCCTCTACAATGCATTGGTACCGTGCAGTTTCAACCCTTTCTCTCTGTCACTCCACGTCATCCTATTAAATCCACCCTTCTGTACAGTAACGTTGAAGCTCGCGGGAACGCCCGTAAAGGCCAACCCTCTCCGTATTTAATTTACTGAATAATTGGAATCAAGCTGCCTCATTTGTGTGCCCGCCAACGCTCCCACCCCTCGCCTCTCCTGAACAACAGAGAAACCCGCCCTACAATTTCCAACCTCCCCAACGAGAATCCTGAATCCTACGGGAGCCTGATGAGGAGATTTGTGCGCGTTCATAAAACTCTCCTCCAGCTATCCCCTTGGCCTCTCGGCTCATCCTCTTCCCTCCTCTTCGACCGCCAAACTCTACGACGGTGAATAAAGATGACCAGATAATGGAAGGCTGGAGAAACGGAGGGGATTACTGTTATCCAGTTGGGAACCGGATCTCAATGGTTCGAATAAGCACTGCAAAATTTTCTCAAACAATTAAGCTAAAAAACCAACTCTTTCGAGGAGAGAAACAAGGAAGAACATTGGTATTATAAGATTTCAATCGTATTTCATACGTTAATCTGAAGATCTAATCATTGATTAGAAATACTATGGGGACCTTGGCAATTTATTTTGCAAGGGGGTTGATTGTGGTGCGCCTGTTTGTCGGACGAGCGTCTAGGGAAGAGAAGGAATGGGACAAGGATCCCAGGATCGCAAGTGGAGAACATTTGTCCCTAAATGCGCAAGCGCACTGTGAAATAACCAGAAATCGATGGCGTCTGACTCGACCTTTGCTTTTCATACTGTGCACGTAGTTGAACGTCAGGAACACGTAGTCTAGTAGACTGCCATAGAATGAAATAAGGTGGAATGGTACAAAACGTGACCCAGTGTTATTTACCATGTTGATTGGCAAGATAGAAATAGCCATGGCTACCATGGCACAAGATAATATAGATTATTTACACTAAAACAACTGAACTCATCAAAATGAGAGATCCCAGATTTTTTATTTCATAAATTTAGAATTCAGCTTTTAATAATAGAAGTACTAAGCCTGTCAGAGTGGTGGTTTCCACATTGCTTGCTTTAAAATTACTAACATTGTGTTATAGGTATTTTACAATGTAATTACTTCATAGTAATATGCAAAATACTTCATTGAAATTTAAAAATTAGAGTGAATACCTAGGAGCACTACTAGCGGTATTTCCTCCAAACATCAGCAAGTCTACAGTCGGTATTTCAGATGGTGACATAATCGATAGCGGACCAAAAATGGCCTGTCCTGTTTTACCAGCACCATAAGTACTTACCCCATCGTACGGTAACGTTCTGCTTCAACCATAAGCAGTTCATTTATATTCGGAAATGCATATAACAATTCTTTTGCAATGTCTTTGAAATACGTTTGTAATGATACGTCCTTTTATTAAGAAAAAATATCCCACTGTATCATTTGCAAATAAAATATATTTATATCCTTTCCTGACGATCGATATTTCAGATACCCACTATATTGTGCCTGACTTGTGACCGAGACATACTACTGGATCGAACAGTGAAACAACTCTAACATTTTTTAAACTAATAGATTGCTTGGGATCGATAACTGTAGCAATTTTACCGTTTGTTTTTTAATGAAAGCTTTAGCTTCAAACTTCAATAATTTAAAAATACAAATCAAGGTTAAACATTAAAGTTAACATTTAAATTTCTTATTCTATTCTTTAATATCCAAGACATTATAAAAGTTTAGCTATAAAACTCATGAAAACAAATTTTCTAACACAAGAAAAATTCACGAACAATAAATAAATCCAGCTAAAACTTTCAAGTATACCTCCATACTACAAAATGGTAAACTCGTCAGTGAGCAGCGGGTATCGAATGCGCGCGCATATGATCCATGATGGCCGCCGTTAAGCTGGTTGGTGGGAGGCGCTGAGGCGGAGTGAATGCACATAGGAAGGGGATACGCCCGTGATTGGTCAGAGGATAGGATGAACCAAGACTGTGCTTTACCAAAAAAGGTCGGCCATCATGGATTCAACATGGCCGTTGCCTGCCCGTGCAGGAACATCCTAATTTCTTTCGATCTTTCTACTGATGCAGAAAATAAATTCGGCTGACAATTATACCGAATAATCAAACATTTATATCTATAATTAATAAACTGTATAACGTTTCGTGAACATAATTTATAAGATTAAACATTATCATATTTTTTGTGAATAAAAAATAATTGTATAGTTAAAAACAATTTGTAAAATCTTAAAATTTGTTAAAGTATTGTGTTGTGGAGTGCTTGTTAAATATCAGTAACTATGTTCAACACAGTATTCAAGCATGAGGATTAATTGTCTTGCGTACCATTTATGAGCAATTAACAGAGAGATTATAGCACCTAAAAACACAGCTTTAGATTCGTAAAAGCATGAACTCCCGACGGGAACTAGGCAAGCAATATACCTGTTTGTCGTCAGCCGTAAAAGTTGAAACCAAGTGATCCCTACACAAACCAAGTGATTTGTGCATCCTAAACGCAAAGAAAACAGTCGTAAATTTTAAGTATCGTCAACTGCATTTACTCTGTCAATACTTAATTCATTCACAAACTTCGTTTTCATAATACTTCGACGTTTAACCATGTATCCGACGAAGGGTTAAAAAAATGCAAGTACACATTTTGTTATTTAGAAAGTACTATTTTCACGGTTGCAATAAACGTATAAAGGAAGAGAGAAGCATTCAATTGATCCGCATAATATGAGTAGAAACAAGAATCATCATTCACCTGTTCATAAGGTCAACAGGTAATGTGATAACGACCGTTTATAATGATTACGGACAAAGGAATTACCGTGCAAACCGACACTTAACGTTTATCGTATCTCTTACCACCAGAAGTTATGTATACCGTTCTCTTAAAAGTGAATGGTAGTGAGTTGTAACAAGATTATTGACTTTAAATCCTCACGAATGACCCTATAGAAGATTGAAGATACAAATATATATTACCAATACCAATGTCTCGACCATATGACTGTGTTTATACGTATGTATTTCACATACACAAATCATTTGGTCGTTTAATGTTGGAAGTGTGATGGTACCCTTTATACTTGCCATCAAAGGGATATTCATACCAACATTTTTTACGAATCATTCAATGATATATTTTTATTATATTAGGTGTTCTAATAAAATTCATGAAAAAAAAAGAGAAGCTAATCATCCCGCATCTAAGGCACGTGTTAAGAATCCAACGAATGAAAGTTCTTCGCGTGTTTCGTTTTTAAACGAAGCCTAATCGCGTTAATGGGTCGAGAACACGATTAAATTGGACCCATTTCGTGTGAACGAGGTGTAGACTCTTCTACTGATGAAAAGAACCGCGTAATATTTAGAAGGTATGTAAATAGGACGCGGTTCGTTTCCTTTGGTAACAATTTCGTGTGAACTAATCGTGCCACTAATGGAGCAGAAAAATAAATGGTCTGTGTAAATGTTAGCACATGTGAGAACCTCGGCTGGATACAATTTGACCCGTGTTTTATATGTTCTGAAGTTTCGTGTGAGCTAATCCTAATCACTTTACCGATAAAATAGAAAGATTATCATTAACACCATTCCATTGGTAAACTCTGTCAGAAGAGAAGCTTTTGCAAAACCGACTACGGTGACCAACAATATTTACCGGACTCACGATCGAAGATAAGTTTCGTCACGATGCGAGTATTATTTATTGCCTTACGGCTGGCAATAAAGATTTCATACATTCTCGTTTCAATACTTTACTCGGACATGCATGATCCGCCAAATCTATTTGATGACCATATTCACTGATAACGAATACATGGTTAAAAACGTACACGAGATAAGCTCAGGTAACTGATTCGCGTTCAGTGAAAGGCTAGCAATCATTGCTAAAAATACTTTATATAAAAATTTAACAATTAAAAAAGAACGTGTTAATTTATCATTAAAAGAAAACAGCTAGTATAAGATATTGCAAAGTTGAGAAAAATTAAACAGGCGTGCAAAGACGTGCACGATAGGGGATGATTCTACTAAGGGCAGGTGTTTACGAGCAAAATAATAGCCACATTTTATGGAGCCTGACAACCGAGTACTATTACATCGCTCGTAATTGTAATTATTACTATATGCCACGATTATACTTCCAGTAGCTCCTCTGCATGCTTATCCTAACCGTCACGATACATATCACGTAAACCTAATTCACCGTGTTCTTAACGATTTTCGTTTCGCGTGATCACTTTGCCAAACTGCGCCAAATAGGCAGTAACCGAAGTTTATTTTTTGGTAATCAAGGGAAAAGCAAATATTACGACACATTTTGCCCGCTGGAAGGACAAAATTAACTTAATGTCCTTAATCCTGTAGGTGACCAGTAGCTGAGTCACCAAAGACAATTAACTATAATATTATTAATCATTACACAATAGAACCAACAATTTTACGATATATAGTTAAGAAATTCATCTACGTCTAAGAAACTCTATATGCAAACGTCTAAGGAAATTGTCAAAGAAAGAACTAAGGGAACCGTGTGTGGATTTGGGAGAAAAAAACACACATTCCGTTATGTATAGAGATTCGACGATAGTTTACACAGTGACTCTATCCTATCTCCGGAACTGTTCTCTAATTGTTAAAGCAAACACTCTGATGAGAAAGCCTAACGCAGAGGTGCAGCGGCTTGCCTTCGGTCGATCTTCTTTCACCGCCACAGCCGACGTGTTAGCGTTAGAATTCGCACCTCTGTATAAATTATTAACGGCGAATCCGTTAATAATACGATTACATGTTATGGAAGAGAGACACGTGGCGGCGTGTACGTTTGTTCACGTTTCTTTAATGTTTGTCACCCTTGCAATACCGGACAATTTCCCACGATAACGCATTCGTTGTTTCTATTTGAACCGTCGAATAACGGCGTTTCAAGTGTATCATAATTATATGATAATATAAAATAGAAAAGTAAAAACTTACTTAACGAAAGCGATGGCAATAAACATTACATAGTGAAATAGAAAGAACTGAATATAAAGAAACATAATGTATGAATGTTACCTTAACTGTTGCTTCGTCGTCGAACCATCGAATCGGTCGTTAAAGTGCCCGGCAAGAAAATTCCAAGCCGATCGGTACAGCAAGGACGCGGTATCACTGCAAGCAGCTTTGCTTCTCACTCACACTTCCGTTCCGGCCATTTCTCGACGAACAAAGACGCATACAAACAATCTCGAACGTTATCGCGTTCGTAAACCTATATCACACGGCGAACCGACGCGATGCTTCGAAACCCTTCCGATATCGTCCAACTACCTCTTCATATCGTTATCAACCAACAACTTTTCAGCACTCACTCGATAATTCTGATGTCGGAACACTGGACACTCGGTGTTTGAGCGCCGAAAAGAAAGGTGAGAAGTAGAGATAAGAGATGAAGAGAGAGAGGGGGACCAGGGGTGTGTCGAAATTCACCGAGTCAGAGGGGTGAAAGTTTCGGTGCGCGCGGGAAAAAAAGGGAACACAGTGGTCAACGACGTCCCAGATGAACGCGCTAATCACAAAAGGAAGAGATGCGCGCCTGCGTGTCTCCAACAATGTACTCTGATGTTACTTTTCGAATGCATAACAATGGACCACGTTGGTAAACCGGGGCTCATGCTTTCTAGATGGGACGTACCGCGCACTGAATCAGTTGTTCCATCGCGCAGGTTGCTTGCCCCACCCTTCCGTTCCCCACTTTGCCACGATAATGCCGTCCGGGGAGCGGCCGATGGACGGCATGGAACGTCGTATCCCCTCTATTCGTTCTGTTCTACTCCCACCACTATTCTTCTCGGACCAGCAACGTTCTTTGCTTCGGCGCGTTGCTTCGACCGACCGGAACCCCCCACCATTGCTATCTCGTGATTGCTGGCTAGAGCAGTGCCAATATACCGGGTGTAACAAAAGGACAAGATTTACCAACAGTTGACAAAATCAAAGCCGTTTCTAGAAATTATGGGATTTGGCAACTTTTATGAACTCACGAGATACACTTTCTGCACTGGATCATATATTCAATCAAAAGAATAGAAAAAATGGTATGATTTGAGAATAACTTTCAGAGTCATGGTTAGTTATCCTTTTTCTGGTCAGACATGAATAAAGAGACCTTTCCTTCTCAGAAAAGTATTCTTTGAAGAGAATTTTAAGTCCGGATGTAAAGTAATACGTCCGGTTAAAGGCAGTTAATTTTGGTTCGTTATGATCCTAGAAGACATTAGCTTCTACTTACAAATAACTACAAACACATAATTGCATGTGCTACTACAGTTTAATGAAAGTACATAACTGCATCTGTTACACGAAAATTAGACCCGAAATAGAGTCTGTAGAGTTCTAAAACGGGTAAGTGGTACACCCCATAACCAGCGCCATTAAAATTTGTCCGAAACTCCATGGATCCCTCCCAGCACTCGAAAGCAGACATCCGCCGATTGGAGTGGCGACCTTTTTCCACGCTTGACTAATTTAAAAAAATTCAAACCTGTTTTCAAGCGCCGACCCAACCCTAGTTAAGGGCGACACAAATGTTTGATTCAAAGAGGGTGTGGTTTCTCAGAAATTCGCTATTTATATTCTAGATCAACGACAAAAAAAGAAAAATCCATATGGCGAACCGAGGAGACCAGAAACAGAAATTCAGTATTCCAATATTCTATTAGATTTAAGATGGATTAAAATATTTTATTTATGTAAAATCTGCTGACTCGTTCGAGGGTTGAAGAAGATTATTTGCATTGCTATAACTTTCAGAAAGATGTTTAGCGTTTAAGGCCAGTTTCGAAAACCTTTAAACTCTATAAAGTTTATTTTAAAGTGCGCATTCCTACACGATGGTAGTGCGTTCTATTTTTAATGTCAAATCGTCCGTGCTAGATGGAATGGCATCTCCTTAATCCTCCATTCCACTGATTTTATTATTCACGCCATCCATTCGATCCACCAGTTTTTTTCCCGAGCGAACAGAACGCTCTCACGCAGAGTTTCAGCTCGCGTGGGGGTTTGACACTTGAAATAAAATACGAGCCAGTTCTGTCTCATGTCACGAACCGCGCCTACATAAGCCAGTTGTACCGAATAACTGAATACAAAAGAGGCAGATAAGTCGTGACCGTTGTCCTTTGAATATCTTGAAACTTTTTACTTAATACTGGAGAAAATTTTTTTCAACTGGGATCAGAGTTTATGGATGTCTTTGGATTAGAATTTCTACTATACTGTCCTCGCAGCACAAATTGAGAAGGGATGTAGGTGGTCAAAAGGCTGACAGAAAACAACACGTCGGATTGATTGCCAGAAAAACAGAATGGTTATGTAGGGAAGAAATAAAGGAAGATTCGTGGAAGAAGAGGGGAGAAGTGTGGTACAGAAGAGCAGTCTGTGGAAGTTACCTCAAGCTGGGTACCGAATCGATCTCTCAGAGCCAGCCAAAGCCCAGGGTCCAACTAACATCCCCTCTTCTTTCTTCTTACTCTTCATTCTGCACGCAAATTGTACTCCTCACAAACGGCTATCTGGTCTAAAACGATTCTTCTATATGTTTAATGGCCCTAGACCAAACAACATCCAAAGGTGAAACACAAACGGATCGATGTAGGGCGCTAAACGATCAGCTGATGACCAAAGGAACCTCAAGTGCCCCGGATAGCGGGTTAAAAGCTTACAAATGCATTTGCGCCTATGTATTTCTATTTAACTTTTCAATTAACATCAGCGCACGACTCCACTATCGTCGTCACACGCGAGCACATTTCGTTCACGTTGAATGGGAAACGCGCGAAGCTTTTGTCGCACCTGTTATTTAAATTCGTCGCTCACCTGTCGCGGTCTCACGGCATAATAAGCACGTGCCGTTTCTTTACCTTGCCCAAAGATACTATTCGATGTAACGTGCACCAATGGATATAGCTGAGAAATCTTACCGCCATAAACGACTTTGTTATGTTATGGCGTTTTATAAGGTGTTAACGAGCCATTGATCAAGGCATACAGTAAGAAACTCATTATTTAACGAGCTAAGAAGTACGAAATACACTAATTCTATGCGAAAATGTCCCAAAAACATGTGGGAGTTCAGATTCTCACGCACTTGGAAATTTATATAAAACATAAATACAGAGGTTCCTCGGCTAAAGGGAAGACACATTGTTTCAAGGTTCTTCAGAATTGCTTATTCAAAGAAACCTTTACAACCGTGTTGTAGGGTTGAACGCATTGCTACCTAGGAAAGGATTGCGGTTGCAGTGTTGCCGGAAACGGTTACGGGTTTTAGGCGAACCGAGGGAAACTAAGTATGAAAGGATAACTTTCGTGGCCTTGTAGAGGCATTCAAAGGAGTTCTTCGACGCTTCCGTATTTGGTTAACGAAAAAAAAAAGGTGAAAAAATTGCGGTCTGAAATGCTGTAATCTTTTTGGAAAGTGAAATCTGGTCGACACTTCCTGGTGGAACGACCCATTTTTCAAGGGAAAATGCGTGAACTAGGGTCATCAATTTGAGAGTGTAGAAAATTTGTTGGATAGTTTGTAAAAAAATCGTGAAAGAGTAATCGTATTGTTCTGAATGCATTGTTTTTATCACGAGTTATTGGTCGATTCACTTGGATAGAAACCGATCGTTTCGCGCGTATGTAATCTGGTCGATTAAACGATCGTGACTGAGACGAAACAGGTGCTAGAACTAAAGTTATCGTCACTGTAAAAGATAACGATGCTGATGTATCATTCGCCAAACTTCAATACGCATATTGTTGCTTTCTTTTAGACTATGGACCACTGGAATCCAAATTTCCCGCCAAATATTTTATCATTCAGATCAACACTGATCACAAATTCAGTTTATCAAATAACATCATTCAATGTTCATTCAGCATTTTCAACCCCCCGCAATATAATACCACATCAAGAAAATATGAATAAAATTATTTAAAGAACTCACCGTTTGAAGAACAAGAAGAAGACGTTCACCAAACTTCGCTGATAGAACTAGTAGAAACTCCTCGAGTGCAATGTAGTCGCAAATCCTCTTGAAAGAAACGTGAGGACGAAAGGAGTAGTCGAGAAACTGGTGACGTTTAATGGGTATTACCGACTATGAGCATCGCTAGATACGGAACAAGCGAGCAGATATAAGTAAAAGTGTCTTCACCTCTCGAATCGAATCGAAATGGGGTGCGGGCATCCCGGTCGCGGTTCCGGGATTACCATGGACCCTGCGTCGGCGTCGTTGCACCCTTGCGCGACCGTCACGGCGCAAATTCATCCCGTCCCCCTTTCTCGACCACCTCGTCTCGATGGACGTCCGCCCTAATCCTCCTCTGTCGCCCCATCCTGCCTCCTCTTCCACCGCCGTTGCTACCTCCTGATCCTGTGTGCGTTATGTGCGTCATACAGGGTCGTTTCGGGATCAACCCTCCGCTCAAAGCGCACCCTTACGCGGCGATCCGCCTCGCGTCCGTTTCTCGTCTTTTCGCGCCGCGACCACTCGGCTATTGCTGAAATATTTAAACATGGTTAAGTTGAATGATACACATTTTGAAATTTATAAAATTTATTGCAATTAAGCTTTATTTGTGAATGACACGCTATTCGTCATTCGTTTGAATGATTGCCCGGCATTTCTATAACAATGGATACATAGATGGACGCGTGGGCTTCGATAGGGCTGTTTCGAAAGCACAACATGGTACACGAGGCATAAACGCGGCGAGCAATTTTCTTGTAACTAAATGAAAATAAATTCACGACCGACTAATGCCATTCCCTTCGACAGGCTTTGCTCGAACGTTCGTGGGGTTTTATGAACGTAAATTACAGAGCCCCGATGGCCGCCTCCTGCCAACGCCGACACTCTCTGTATTCCATGGGCTTGGTAACTTTTTCAATTTCACGGTCATTGACCTAACCCTTTCTCTACAACCCTCTGCGCTATATCGGGTAAATAACAGATAATAGCAGATTGATCGAAATTAATGGAGAAATTCGATTCTGCAAAGGAAATGAAAGTTCGATGGAACGCGGTCTGATCGTTGTCAAGGTAGAAACTTTACTACTGCCAGAACTTGAAGAAGCATAAAAGAGTTATCTCCTTCACGACTACGACATATCCACGGTTTTACTATTTCCTACTGAATTCACAGACCCATACTAGCCACGATCTCAATTGTTCCTGTTCTTTGTCCCTTCTGTCGTTTCAAATTCTACCAATTTCTAGATGAGATCGACTTCTACCCTCAGCTTTAATTAACAGACTATGAAAGATTTTAGAGAAAAGATGTAGACCCAAACATACTCATCTTAAAAATCAATAGAAGAAACAAGGGTTCCTCTAAACAAGCCTTTTCCTCCGTTTCTCAAACACGAACGGCACAGTTTAATGGGTTAATGAGCGACGATAATTTCGTCCCGCGACCTGGCTGCCATAAATCGCCGTGTAAACCTTTTTATCGTCCCTACCGCTACAAACTCGAATATATCATTCGCACCCAATATAAAGAGGATCGGTCGTCATCGAACGACAACAAATAAATAAAAAAATTTTACCAAACCACGACATGTTTCGATAATGATGCGATCTAAGTAGAAAAATAATTGTAATTAAAATTTTTTTTAACACCTCAGTATACAACGGTGGTTGCACTGGTAAGAAGAGATGGTTGTAGTGGTGTAGGCGGAGGCTGGCTGAAGTTGGGTCGATTTTGCCTTTGCCAGCATGGCCGAGACACAGCGAAGGGGGAGGAGAGCTAAGGGTGAAAGCCCGTAGGGCTGTGTGCAAGCCAGAAACACGGTGAACCGAAGGCAACAGCCAATGGTGGTGGAGAGTGAGAGAGGCCAGAGAAACGAAAGCACATGGAAGGGAATTTATGCCGTTGCCTGTCGTCGGAGGTTGGATTGAGAGCCGCGAAGCATAAATAACGACACGTCAACCCCTACCGAGGGGGTAA